TGGAAGCCAATTTGATAACATCTTTCAGGAGAGAAGTAGATATCGGGGAGGACAAGTTTGCAAGGCTATGGGGAGAGCGCGGAGGAATGGGATTGATTTAGACAGGCTCTTTTCAAAGAGCCGGCACAGACATGATGGGCTGAATGGCCTCCTTCTGTTCTCTATAATTCTATGATTCTACATTGCAGAGATTCCCATTGTAAACATTGTTGTCAGGATGATGACATGTAACATCAAGAGAAATTAGCAATAGCATTAAAGAGGCTTTCTACATTTGCAAATACTAATGCCAGCATGCTTCTGAGGAAAGCTGGAATTGTTTTAATTGTCTTGTTTTAAACATGACGGGGACATAGGGCATGAATGTAGATTTGTTCAGAGCTGAACCAACTGCCTCCGACCCCCTCCTTTCTGATTTTCTCAACTAAAGATAAAACTCTAACGGATGGGTCGGGTGTGCATGTGCAGGAAAGTGTGTCCGGCAACACAGCCCCAGATTGCTACTCATTTTGCTAGCTATTTGGATTACATATTCAGGTTTTCCAGGCCATTGAACCCAACCCGGCCGAAACGGAGTAGTAAAGCATGTACCAATGTTTTTTTTAAAAGAAAACCTTTAAAGAAACAGGCTATTCCAAAGCCATATCTTCCAACTATATGTCAGACCAATTAAGATGGGTTATTGTTGCCTTGTTTGTTTGGAGTCCTTGGCTAGAGGAGATACCTGTCTCCAAGTGAGACAAATTTGGCAGTTCACAAGCGATGAAGTGATGAGCCAAGCGGATGGAAATAGTTATCTTCCCTGACTGCTGTATTGTACAGCTCAAATATAATTATTCAATGGCCAATTTATTTCATAACATCACTAGTATGGGAGATCTTAATCCGTTCCCTGTTGCTCCCAGACTGAGTATGTGATATAAACCAAAATACATTGAATGCAATGTATCATTGGATTGAAGTGTGTTAGTGCTCTATTTTCTTGCAACAGACAGCGTGAGCAATTTCTAATGCCTCATACATGTAAAGAAGGATTGTTAGCCCGGATATCGAGAGAAACTCCCTTCTCCTTGCGAATTGTGCTATAGGAACTTTAATGTCCCCCTGAATAGGCAAATGGACCTCAGATAACGTCTCATCCAAAAGGATGGCACCTCCAACAATGGAACACCTCCCGAGCACTGCACTGGAATGTCAGATTAGGCTGTGATTTGAACCCACAATCTTCTAACTCAGAAGTGAGAATGCTACCACTGAGTCAAGCTGACACACATGCATGCATGTAGGTGGTGGACGCTGAACAGGGGAAGTTAATGATGTTGACCAAAGCGATACATTTTAAGAAGTTTTTCAAGGCAGGAATAAATACAGGTAGCAAAGCAAATTGTTTTTGGAAGAGAGGGCAGCATTCATTAACCTACAAAATGACCTACAAACGATAGGTATAGCTGGAATGTAGGGCTGAAAAAGTTTAAGTAGGGTGGGGCAGGACTATGGTGGGAATTAAAGATGGGGAGAAAGATCTTAAACTTGATCCTTTGGGATACAAGTTACATTGCAGTGCTGCATTTAAATGGTGTACAACAAAAATAAAATTGTCCTAACTAATCCAGATGAGAGTTTGCAGGCGCAGTGTTCACAGGTCTCGGACAATGCCTGCTCTTTCCTAGAAGAGCAGAAACTATCAGAGAAGTACTCTCATCCAGGGCTGGCTACTACAGCTGGAGCTGAACAAATGATGAATGCTTCATTTGCCTTACACCATTGAGGTAGGCCATGGGGAAAATCTTTTTAAGGTGTTAGTTTGGCTCAGTCAGCAGAACTCACACCTTTGAGTTGGAAGGTTATCATAGAATTATACAGCACAGTCTGTGCCGGCTATTTGCAAAGAGCTATGAAAATCAATCCTGCTCCCTCGCTCACTCCCCATTCCCTTGCAAACATGTCCTCCCCAAATAATTATCTACTTCTCTCTTAAAACTTGTTATTGAATCGGCTTCCACCACCCTTACAGACAATGCATTTGAGATCCAAATAACTCGCTGTGTGAAAAAAATTCTCCTCACCTCCCACTCTGTTCCTTTTAACAACTATTTTAAATCAGTGCCCTCGGGTTAGCAACCAACCCACCAGTGGAAATAGTTTCACCTTGTTCACCCTATCGAATCCCCTCAAAATTTTGAGAACATCTATTAAGTCTCCTGTTAAGCTTCTCTGCTCCAAGGAGAATAATCCTAGCTTCTCTAGCCTCTCCTGATAACTGAAGTCCCTCATTCCTGGTACCATCCTGGTAAATCTCCTTTGCACCCTCTCCAAAGCCTTGACAGCCTTCCTAAAGTGTGGGGCCCAGAACTGAACACAGTACTGTAGCTGAGGCCTAACCAGTGTTTTGTAAAGGTTCATCATAACTTCCTGATTTTTGTATTCTATGCCCCTATTTATAAAGCCTAGTATCCCGTATGCTTTTTTAACAGCTTTATCTACCTGTCCTGCCACCTTCAAAGATTGCTTATGTGAACCCCCAGGTCTCTCTGTTCCTTCACCCCCTTTAAGATTGTACCATCAGCTTATCATTCTTATCATTCTTCCTCCCAAAATGCTTCACTTTGCATGTCTTCACATTAAACTTCATCTGCCACGTGTCTGCCCATTTTACCAGTCTGTCTATGTCCTATTGCAGTGTGCTACTACCCTCCTTACCATTTACTACTTTTCCTAACTTAGTATCATCTGCAAATTTAGAAATTGTACTTCCTATACCCAAATTCAGGTTATTTATATAGATCAAAAACAGCAATGGTCCCAATAGAACGCTAGTCCTATTGTTCTGGCCAATAATCTCTGATAAAATTGGTCATTCACTTTTTAGCCATTTGTGAGACATTGCTATTAATAAATTTGCTGCCATGTTCAGCTACAAATATACTATCACTACACATTACAATGAATCCATTGAAGCGTTTTAAAATTTTTCGACAACATGATGAGGTCCTATATCAAATGCGAGGATTTGTTGTTGTTATAAAAACTCCATAGAATTGATGCAAATTCTGCAGTGGAACAACAGCCAGCGATTTGCAGAGATAATCACATTTTATCCTTTCCCAAGGCTAGTTGCGAAGGTCTCTATAATCGTTGCTACACAGTACAATGAAGGAGATGAGCAGCAGGCATGATGAAGCCAGACTTAGTGACTTTATAAATAAGTGGAGGATTCCACTGTACAGAGCATTTAATTTTTGCCTTAATCAGTTCACAGCTATTTGGTACATTTTCTATGATGCCCGATACTCATCTCTTTCATTCTGCTTTAATCTTCTTGTGTGTATGTATGTAAGTGTGTGTGCCTGTGTCTGTCGCTCTCTCACTCACATACACACATGCACACTCTCTGCGTCTCTGGACTAGCCTGATTTTATGGAGTCCTGTAGCTCAGTGGTTAGAGCACTCGCTTCACAAGCAAGAGACCTGGGTTTGATTCCTGACAGGGCGAAACCTTGGGCAAGTTTCCTTACTCCATACACCTGATAATAATCCCTCAAGAAAGAAATAACAATTGGTCACTCAATCCATGACTGTTTGTGGGACACTGCTGTATGCAATCGGCTGCCAGGTTTCCCCTACAAATATACAGTCAATTCATTTTACAGTATATTCTGTGAAGCGCTTCAAGACATCAAGAAGACGTGAAAAGCGCTATATCAAATGCAAGGATTATCATATTATTATTATTTTCTCAGTCTGCTTGTTATAATAATGCGGTTGTTATAGTGACTTGGCTTCCATGTGTTTTATGGTAAAGCAGGCCACAGAGTGATGATTAAAGCCCTGTTCAGTCTTCTCTATTGCAGTGTAAAGTGTTCATTAGAAACTTTAATGGAGGGGAGATGTCTGAAATTAATTCTTCGAACATTTTGCTGAGTAGCCTATTAATAACTTGCGTTGTGCTGCCTTTGATCTGATGAATTTGTGGCCTTTTGATGCGTGTTAATGTTTATTTAATTCGCCAGCCAAGCACTTGTGTGCATTAACCCAGATGTTCAAATCCCATCAGCATCTCCTCACCTCACCATATCAACCTCTCCAGTTGCTCCCTCCAACACACAACACCTCTGTGTGACAGCTGTGTGTCCACCAACCCCTCCTCCACACCACTATCTGTAGCCCTGCTTTCAGGCACAACGACTCAAACCTCTGGAACTCCATACCCCAATCCCTCTGCCTCACTCCCCCTTTTGATCTATCTTCAAATCTTAAATACCACTTGAAGAACTAGCTCTTCGACCACATTTATAATCACCTCCCTTCTCCCTTGCTCTTGGGAGCGCTTTGGGACATCCTCCCAACGTGTAAGGCGCTCCATAAGTGTAATTTTGTTGTGGTTGCTCAGGTCGCACCCTGCCACTGTGCAGCACTCCGACAATATCCTGGGTGAAGGCCGCTGTATAAATGCAAGTTGGTGTTGGTGATGTGTTGATAGTGTAACGTGCTTGTGGATGGGTGATCTAATTCTAAGACAGTGGAGTCTCTGCTTCTGTGTCAACAGCATCTCCTAAGCAAATCAGATAACAGAAACATCTACCTATAAGCAAAATAATGAACAAAATGAGTGAATCTCGCTTTCAGCACAGCTCAATCACCTGTGGTGAATTCAATTTTCTCATAGTTCAAAGCAGCATTTTCTAGCACTTGTTTGTGGTTTTATTTTAAGTTACTTCTCAGGTCTGACGCTGTGTATTCAGTGCACTGCTCTTACTGCTCAATGCTGGACAGGACTGATTGACATATGAGCAGTTTATTAATAGATGCAACAGAAATACACAGTAAAGCGGAAGGCGATCTTGCAGCCAGAATACTCCTGGGCCAGGCAGTGCTTTGAAAGGAATAATATTTCAGAACTCCTGTGAGCAATGACCGTTTTGAAACCATGAATGACCTGTCAAAATACCGCTGAGAATTCCTTTCACTTTGAGTCAGGAGATTTCCCTTTGTGTTTTCAGCCCTCTTAATGGTTCACACAAAGTGGGGATCATAGTGGTCAGCAACCTTAAAATGGGGGAGACAGAGAACGAGGAGGCAGAGCAAAGCCCCACAGAAGTCTCCGGACGAAAGGTAAGAGCGAAGCACTGCTGTGCTTTGTGCTTTGCTTCTATTTTTGTTAGTGCTCCTTTGAATGAAGTTTGGAATTACTTGCGTGCTCATGCTGCTTCTTGAATTAGTTGCTTGGCGAAAGATATTATTCACCCAACAGGGTCCGTGTTAGCAACATTTCGGTGTAAATTTTGTGTTGGAGGTTTGTTCTCTTAACCCTTGCGTTGTTTGGTTCATTTATTTTCCTTTTAATCTGGCAACTCAAAACGTCGCCTCTTTATAATTAATGGATGTTTTGATTCAGTGAGTAAATCACACAGATGAGTAAAAGCAACCTGCACATTTGGCATAATGTGAAGTTTCTTATAAATTGATGGGACAGGCTTGTCTGGGTGAATGGCCTCCTTCTGTTCCTATGTTTATCTTAGAAGCAGGTTGAAGAATTATTTTAGCTCAGTTGGTAGCACTCTCACCTTTGGATCCGAAGGTTGCAAGTTCACAACCCACAATAGGACTTGAACTCTCAGTCAAGGCTGACACTCCAATGCTTTATTGTCAGAGATGCCATCCTTCAGATGAGACATTAAACTGAGATCCCGTCTGCCATTCCAGGATGACACCAAACATCCTATTTGAAAATATCTGTTTGAAAAGAGAAGAGAGTTTCTTCCAGTGTACTGGGCAACAATGCTCCAGATAAAATTGGCATTTACTTTATGGTTGTTTGTGGAACATTGCTATGTGCAAATTGGTTGCATGTCACTTACAAAATACAGAATCACTACACTTAACATTAAAACCTGTGAAGTGCTTTGAGACAACCTTTCAACCTGAAAGGCGCTGTGTCAAATTCAAGGAATAAAATAATGTTGCCTTTTCACACTGCTGGGAAACAGTAAACCAGGGGTGGTGGTGGGGAAAAGGAAAAGTCACAACTCTACGTGCCTGACAGCCAGCCTGTCTCTTATTTTTTAAGACGGTTGCAAGATTACAAAGCCACATCATGGTTAAAACTGTGGGGAGGTGTCATCCTAACAATAGATGATGACCTTTAGTTTACATTTTTAGCTGTAAAACTCTTGGGCACCATTCTTATCAAGATCGGAATCCAGGATTCAGGCAGTGGGTTCAATTTGTAATATACAGTAAACCTTGTATAAGTCTTAAGTCATACATTCACCAGAGTCCCATTCAGTTTCCTATCAAAACCAGTTAGATTTCTTTGCACCACTCATATTAATCACCTCCTAATTCATACCACTACTCTGCTACCCTCTGTTACTCCTGCACTTACCGGCTGTATTGAATCACAGGAAATTATATCCCAATCCATTGAAGCACGCGCAGAAGAATGGGTCTCGACTGATACGATTTATCTGAGTTTTACTATATTTGCAAACCGGATTCTCATTGAGTTAAAAACAAGTTCCAGTTTATGATTATCGAAGGTCATGGGTTGAGCGATCATGGATCGTTATCAGCAAAGTCCAAAACAGCTGGTGAAATTCACAGTTCACGTGTGAATATTGCATTTGGCACAATAGTTTGGAGGTGCCTTAATCACCCACAAAATACAGTCACTGCACATTACAGTAAACTGCGTGAAGTGTTTGAGATTTTCTGACATGAAAGGCACAATATCAAAGGTAATGATTATTAATAATAAATCTGGTTTGCAATTATCACAAATTCCACTTCAATATTTCAGTCAGAACATAGTCAGCCAGGTTCAGTTAGTAACACTCTTGCCCTGACAAAGAAGGTTGTGGGTTCAAGCGCGATGTTGGGGCCTTTGAGCTCATCGTCCAGGGTAACGTTCCAGTGAGGGCTGGGGTGCATTGTCAGAGGTGCTGACCTTATGATGAAAAATGTAATTGAGATCTTGTTTGCATGTTAATGTTAAAGATCCCACGGAACACATCAAAACTAAAAGTTTCTCCTGGAGTTCTGGCTAACAATCCCCCAAATAAAATAACTTTCAATTCACTTCATAGCTGTTTATGGGGCATTGCTCTGTGCAAATTGGCTGCCACGTTTGCCTACATAATCGCTACTCATTATAGCAATTCACTATCAAGTGCTTTGAGATGTTCTGATATTTAGGCATTGCATGAAATGCAAATGATTTTTTAAAAAAGCCTGTCCAATTATGTATTTTCTAATTTTCTCCCCAACGGCACATGTCTCTCTCCCCCTGGTCTGGTCTGGCCTGCTCCCTGCCCCTGGTGTGGCCTCTCTGCTACTGGTCTGACCTCCTCAGATGCTGATATATCTATCATAACTATAAATTCCTTTACAACAATGCAATTCTTTTTTAAAAAATGGCTAATTGCATGTTGGAGCTCCCTGATGGCTCAGTGTGTTGATACAAGGGAATGACTGAGCCACATAGAGCAGGGTTAGCCTGCTGTGTTAGCTGATATCAGCTGGGGCCGCAGTTGGGTCACGACAATTGGTTTGTGGTTTGACCTCTGTAAGGGAGGTAATATCAGCCAAGTTTACCACTTAATGATCCTTAGTCAGAAACTCTTGATACAAGATACAAGTATGTGAATTTCCAATGAGGATAGGATAGGTTTGGACACAGCTGGGAAGCCCCAGTGATCTTATAAGCCTGCCAACACTGTCAGCACTCAGACATGAATGATAGCAACAGAAATGGCGGGGAACACTCAGCAGGTCAGGCAGCATCTATGAAGAGAGGAAAGTGAGTTAACGTTTCAACTCAATGACATTTCGTCAGAATGTCAGATTCCCAGCATCTGCAGTATTTTGCCTTTTGTCACACATGAATGATGCCCACTTAGGTGAAAATCTGGAGAGTGACTGATGCCTGTGAAGCCATAACCTAGGATTAGGAAAGAGGAGACAACTGCTTGTGTTTAGTGTCTCAGAGCCCTGCACGATGGTTGGGCTGGACACTGAAGATGGAGAGGGATAGAGGGAGACAACTGTAGGTGTGATCAAAGATATAACTACCACAACAAACTGCATTTAAACAGCGCCTTTCACATTGGGAGGACGTCCCAGGTCACTGGTCGAGAGTTTTCCCCTGAGCTGCTGGCTGGAATGGAGAGGGGTGGAGAGCAAGGGGAGTGGTGATCGGAAGTTGACCAAAAGTGCAATTGAAGAGGGTCAAATCGACTGATGCTCTTGAGATAAGTCTTCAGGAGGGATTCAATATATAGACAGGGCAAAGATGAAGGAATGATTTCAGGAGAGGAGGGAAGGTGGTAAAGCGTGACTTGAAAAATAATTCCAATTAGCAAAGGCTTAGCCCACAAATGGGCGAAACATACTCGTGCTGTTAAACCCATTGGTGCTCTTGAGAAGCTGAATGATGATAGACCAGATTTTAATTGCTGATTATATTGACAAGTTCAGCAAACATTAAAGATGAGTGCAATTTTAGGGGAACAGGAATATTTATTTCATTGTTGAAACAAATTAACAGAAAAGTGTTAACCATTCGTAAAAGCCTGCTGAGCCTTCAAGTCAAATAATGTTTGAAAAGCAGATTCATTTAGCATCATAGGGGCTTTGCCTCTCTTTATTGTTCTAGTAATGAGGTTGTTTGGGGTATTATTTTGCTCTTGCAGGATTAGTTGGAGCTCAGTGGATTGACTCCCTGCCCCCAGTGACTGGTCTGCCCCTCCAGGTCCTGCCGATGAGCCAGGCTGACTGGATTGTCATCAGCAGTGCCCTGGAATACTGCGGACCTGCCTGGCTCAGGAACTGGAATACCGAGACCGCCAGAGAGGGCTGGCTCGATTCTGACATTCCACGTCACCTTGGAGTCAGTTTAGCTCCAAGGAGACCCCACTTAACTCCCACCAAGGAGGACAGTCATGAGGATAGTTAATGAGGTGTCAGCTTGGCTCAGTTGGTAACACTTTTGTCTCTGGATCAGAGAGTGTTGGTTCAAACCCCACGTCGGACTTGGGGGAGTCTCGGGGGAATGTTGTAATGTCAGAGGTGCTGTCTTTCCAATGAGATGTTATACTGACGTCCCATCTTTCTGTTCAGCTAGATGTTAATTATCCCCTGAAACTATTCAAAAAGAAAAGAAACGGGGGTTTCTCCCGGTGTTCTGGTCAAGAACCCTCCAGCTAAATTGCTCATTCACTAGCTACCAATTATCTGCGAAGTGCATTGAGATATTTCAACACTGTATGTCAAATGCAAAGATGATTATTTTATTATTATTATTTACATGTAATTTTTTTTNCTCTCAGCCAGCTTCACTTTGTGGGACTCTGCTGCATCAAGCTGTTAACGACAATGGCAAACTCTCACTGCTTGAATCAAGTACGTTTATTCTCCCTTTTGTAATTAAGTGTAATTAACTGCAAAGCCTCAATGGAGAGCAATATTAGGCGATTTCTAGTGGGATTTATTAATAAGGAGTTTGTTGTTCTGATTTATGGGAATACCGCTCCCACTCAAATCTACTTCTGCAAATTGATACAGTGTAATTTTGGTTACCAGAAGGAATCTTCATTCTGTTTCCTTATTGAGGAAGAACTGGAACAAAGGCTTATTTCTCTGTGTAGCACCAGAGACATTCATGTCACTCAGTGGGTGAAATCAACTGATTCAACAACAACAACTTGCACTTATAAGTCACCCCACCCTATTTCTGTGACCTCCTAACCCCCCACCAACCCGCCCTCTCCCTCCTCTCAGCCGGCTCTGGCCTGCTACACAACCCCCGACCCACCCGCCCCACCATTGGCGGGAGAGCATTCAGCGACTCTGCCCCCAACCTCTGGAATTCCATCCCCCAGTCACTCTGCCTCGTCCCCTCCTTAGCCTCCTTCAAGTTCCACCTCAAAACCCTCCTCTTCGACCATGCCATCGGTCACCCCCCTTCCACTCCCCTCCGCTCTCCTCCCCTGACCTCAGCTCGGGTCTGAAATGCTGTACACTGTCTAGCGCCTTTGGACGTCCTCCCGACGTGAAAGGCGCTGTACAAATGTAATCTTGTTGTTGTTACTGTGTCAGAGCGCTTAACAGTGGTGGAACCTGACTCCGAGCCAGGGGAAGGGGGGAGGTGGCCGTAAACATGGTCGAAGAGGAAAGTTTTCCGGTGAGTCTTGAGAGAGGGGGCAAGGCAGAGGGATTGAGGGAGAGTGTTCCAGAGTTTTGGGGCGCAGTAGCTGAAAGCGCAACCTCCGATGGTGAGGAGGAGTGTGCGAGGTATGAGCAGGAGGCCGGTGCCAGTCAAGTGGAGGGGCCAGTGGTGGATTGGGGAGTGAGGAGTTCGGGGAGGTAGGGAGGTGCTAGGAATTGAATGGATTTGAACACAAGTGTGAGGATCTTGAAGTCGATGCGTTCAGTGATGGGGAGCCAGTGGAGCCTGGCTAGAACTGGTGAGATGTGGGTACAGAGTTTGGTTCGGGTCAGTATGCAGGCGGCAAAATTTTGAATGAGCTGGATTTTGTGAATGGTGGAGCTGGGGAGACCGGCGAGCAATGCATTGGAATAATCCAAACGATAGGTGACAAAAGTATGCACGAGGGTTTCGGCTGCATTTGGGGTAAGGTACGGTGGGAGGCAGACAGTGTGGCAGAGATGGAAGAAGGCGGTCCTGGTCAGGGACCAGATGTGGGGGAGGAAGGACAGCTGGGGGTTGAACCGGATGCCTAGGTTGCGCACTGGTTCGATGAGTCTGAGGGAGAGCCCAGGGAGGTTGAAGAGTGTAGATCCACAGGAGTGAAGATGTTGATGGGAGACAAGGAATATGGTTTCCGTCTTGTCCATAATCAGCTGCAAGAAGTTGAACCCATAACCTTCTGGTCTAATATTACACATTTCTACACTGACTGTGCCTTTACCCCCTAGGTTAGTGAAGGAGCCATGCAGTTATTCTTGTAAAGCATAAGCAATTTTATTTTAAAACACACATTATTCATTGCAAATTGAAACTTGCATTTAAATTACAATCAGAAACTTTTACTTTGCCTCAAAATCATTTGTGGATCAAATCTTTCCACTTGAGTTTCCATGTATGGGGTTTAAACACACTCAGAGAAGATTACTATAATATAATGATGAGGCAAAAATGATTATCATCGTCAACTGGAATTATCAGTTGGAATAAACCGTAATTGTTGGTGTGTTTTTGCTCTGCTCTGCCTTTACCACTGAAGTGTTTTTGTTGGCAGTTGACGTGTGAACAGCATTTCTCAATACATCTGCTAGCAGCCAGTTAGCTATCCGCCATTTGGCAGTTTCTTTTAAGCCTCACACAGAGAGATTTCCTGTGACTGTCATTGTGATGGTTTGGTCACAGCCCCAATCTGACTGCTGCCTTGGGGCTAACAATTTAGAAGGGTGCAATCTGTGTCCAGAAGGCTAATTTGTGATGTGATACTGCTCAGTTGTTTTACAGAAAACAAGATGCAGTTTTGTTTAGTTTTTCACAAAAGTCCTTCCCTGCTCTCTAAATGTGTATGAATATACATGCAAGGGAGATTCAGAGTTTATTTTAAATGCACCTTTGTTTTAATATGCAGGGCGGGAATTGAATAGATATATTGTGCATTGTGAGTATACCTTTATCTTGAAGTTTGGCGATTGTATATTGCCCAATTACTTCTTATTTTAAAATCTTTTTCTTGACAAAATACACACAGTCACTACACTTTACAGTAAAATCCTGTGAAGGGATTTGACACATTCTCCCAGTGTGAAAGACGTTATACCAAATATATCTTTGTATTTGGTATAATACAAGGATTATTATTATTAATAATGACAATAATCGTGAGGAAATCTGGAATAAAAATAGAAGTCATAGGAACACTCATCAGGTCAGGCAGCATCTATGGAGAGAGAAGAGTGGGTTAATGTTTCAGTTGGATGACCTTTTGTCAGAACAATCATCTGACGAAAGGAGTTCTGACGCAAGGTCATCGACCTGAAACGTTAACTCACTTTCCTCTCTCCATAGATGCTGCCTGACCTGCTGAGTGTTCCCAGCGACTTCTGTGATCATTCTTCCTTTTCTTTTTTTTAGTAAATTTATCATATCCAGTTATTTTTCTAATTGTTCCCCCCCACCCCAGACATATTCCTCTCTTCTCCTGTTCTGGCGTTATCTTGCTGGGATGCTGGTTGCCTTCCACTAACCCGCCAAAATGGCTGTTGTTTGTGTATGAGAATTAGCAGTGAGTGTCAGCAGACTACTGAACTGTAGAGGGCATCACATCCAAGCCTGACCTCTCCCTATCCTGCTGCCACACGCGCACACAACCAGTCGAGAGTGATATAGAAGGGCCAGGAACAGGAACCATTGCTGATTTTCCCCTTCTTAACCTGGGAAAGCTGGGGCCAAGGTAACTTCCCCACACAGCCCCAGCTGAGACCAGAAAACATAGCATGGTCTAGGGTTTGAGCCAACAAGCCTGGTCCATAAGGTGCAGCTCTCTTTACTACCCCATGTGGGCTGCCCACATCTGATCAGTCTTAATGTGCTGTGTCAGAAAGTGAGCGTCAGAAAACTACTCATGGAGAGTATCACAACCAAGTCCAATCTGTTCCTTGCAGAATATCTAACAACCATACCTTTCAGCTGGAGACCCTGGATAATAAATACTTGCATTTGATATACTGCCTTTCACGTTAAGAGGATGTCTCAAATCGCTTCATACGATTTACTGTAAAGTGTTGTGATTGTATTTTGTCGGCAAAAGGATCAGGAGCAGGAAAGCTGACTGATGCTTCTCCTCCGTTGCTTAGCGCAACTAGGGCTGATTATAACAATTCAGCACCTTCAGGTGGAACTAGGTGAAACAGCTTTGATACCTGAACAATGCTCCATGTAGAGGCCTTTTTCCCTTTAGCCAGGAAGAAACACCCAAAGAAATGAGCAGTGAAGTGCGTGGGAGCACGGTGACAGAGCACTTGGCTTTCATTGTGAGTCACAGCATCTGGAGGAATCTCCCCTGTGTGTCCCCAAGGGATCGTACACCAACCAGCACACTTCAAGCTGCACACCATTGAAAGGAACTGGAGAAATGAATTCAGAGTGTAAAGTAGATACAATCTGGGGTGTTGGCAATTTATGCATATTTGTGGGTTGTATGTGCTGAAATAAATATGTTGTGTGTATTCCTGATGGTCTTGGATGCAACTAAATTGTGGTTCTCTATGCTTTCGTTCCATGTCAAGGTGAAAGGTAGAGCTAGGGTGAGCTGTGGCTGAAATAGATGTCTTTGTTGGTTACTGTGCAGAACAAATTCTTCATCTCTCTGGCTAGCTGAATGGCTGAGTAACTCGTGCCCCTGTATGCGCCACTGACCTGCTCATCTTAAATATTTATGGCTTCTACAATTAAAATATTTATTATATTACTATTTATTACAGCAGAATCCCGTCATGACATGCTTCATTATACCACGAGTACACTTGCGTTACTCACTAAACAATCCACAATGTGCAATGAGCGTCAGGGCTGGCTCACTCCAAAGTGATGGCTGGCATTTCACATCTATATAAAAGCTTTATTTCTGAGTTGATGGCGATGTCGAGGTCTGACAGTGACCTGATGGCCTCAAAGTCGACCACCTTCACAACATCGCCCGGCACCGCCACTGTCTCACACCTCAGGCCGCCGAAACTCTGATACAGGCTTTCATTACATCAAGGCTTGACTATGCAAACTCACTGCTTGTTGGCCTCCCCAACTCCTCCCTCCACAGGCTACAGATCATCCAGAACTCTGCAGCCCGCGTCCTCTCCTGCACCAGGCGCTGTGACCCTATCACCCCCATCTTTGCCCGACTCCACTGGTTTCCCATCACACAGAGGATACAGTTCAAGATCCTGGTCCTCACCTTCAAAGCCCTCCATGGTCTTGCTCCCCCCATCTCTATGACCTCCTAACCCCCTACCATCCTGCTCCTACCTCCACTCAGCGAGCTCCAGCCTGCTTCACGTGCCCCGCCTTGCTCACTCCACTATTGCCAGGTGGACCTTCTGCCACTCTGCTCCCCCTCCCCCCTCTGGAACTCCATCCCGCAGTCCCTCCACCTCGCCCCTTCCCTTGCCACCTTCAAGACCCATCTCAAGTCCCTCCTCTTCGACCGTGCTTTCGATCTCCCTGCTTCCTCCCCCTGCCCTCCATCCTCCCTGACCCCGAGCGGGACTGGTGACCGGAATGCACCCCCACCCTGCATAAAGCTGATTGGGATTTTATGGACCCCCACCACCCTCCCCAATTTTTTTTTCTCATGGGCACTCAGAACAGTGTTCTGTTGTATTTAAGCCTCTGGGTCAGAGGTTTGGGGGTTTAAGGCCCACATCCGGACTTGGGCATGTATAATCTAAGATGACTCTCCAACGCAGTGCTGGGATATGTTGAATTGTTGGAGGAAACATTAAACCTTGATGTCCTGTCTGCCTGGTAAAGATCCTAAAAAAGATATTCTAAAAAAGAAGGGAGTTTCTCCCGGTGTCCTGCCCAACAAATCCCCCCAAAATAAAATTGGTCATTCATTTCAAAACTATTTGTGGGATGTTGTGGTGAGGAATTAGGTTGACATGTTTGCACACAAATACACAACCACCCCCACTTCACAATAAATCCTGTGGAGGCACTGAGACGTCCACTACATGGAAAGCACTATACCAAATGCAAGGATTATTATTGTATTTTGGATTACAGGGAATATATATTTTCCTCAATTTCTCTAATAATGTGTATCGTCTCTTCTAGTTTTTAAAAACGTCATCTGGAAAGTCTACAGATTCCCCACAGATAATGGCAAGTGGTTGTGTGTCCGGGAACAGATGGCTGAAAGTACACTGTCCTTCCACATCCCCAAGCAAATGATCACACTCTTCATCCAAGAAGACATGAGAAGGTAGGATACAGCACTGGCCAGTGTTTTGCGTTGAGGCAGAAATATTCAGTTTTTCCGCATGGTTAGGATCGGAAAAGACCGTCGCAAACCTTCTGGCCAACCTCAAAACAATAGCAATAACAACAATAAACATTCTTGCACAGTGGAGTAAAAGTTACATCTTCTCTATCTTACTTGTGGCCAGTCAGATGCCAGTAATTAATGTTGTATTAATTAATGCCGAGTAAATTGTGAAACTGTTTCAAATTTCAGTTTAAAGTTGACATTCATTTTTGCTGACTTTATACACTCAGTTTCCAGAGCAATTTTGAGTCTTAAAAATCCTGTAAATCTTACCCTCTGCCCACTCCCGCCACCCTCTCGCCTCACCACAGCCCAAGGCCTCAGCACAATAGTAAAGGCCAAGGGAGTCAGTCTTGTTGTCAGTACACTGGAGGAGCAGCAAGTGGGCAGAGCGGGAACAGAGACCTTACTAAGAGGGTGAGTGTGGCCTAACAAGTGAGTGAGTGCTAACCCCAGCGATAATCAATGTCAACTTTTAATTGTAGATTTCAAAGTGTTATATTCTCATTGGAATCAAGGTAGGTCAGGTCAGATAGGTGTCATGCCTAATGCGAGCTCACTTTTAATACGATTCCTTCCTTCTGATAACCAAAAGCACCGAGTTCTGACCTCTGGGAACTTTGCTCCACAACTAGATGGGGTCAGAGCAGAGATCCTGCAGATCATTGTGACTTTCTTTCGGTTTTTGTATTAAGGAATTCCATTAAAACTCACGATTTTTTAGACCCCGATATTCTGATGTTAGTGGGAGAGAAAGTTAGCATGGGGTTAATTATGTGGTGCAGAGTTTAGGTCAGGCACAATATCCTTCAACGGCAACTTGCATTTATATAGTACCCTTCACATGGGGTAGAGTCTTGGAGTATTTGGAGCTAAGGGCACTCATGGTGGCACAGAGGGACTAGTGCACCTGTGTTTGCTGAGTGAAGGGGCTGGGCAAAGGAGTGGAGTATGGGCAGGAGATGGAAAAAGTGTTCCTTTACTGGTGATGGCCGCTGGAAAAAAGCGCTTTGCAGTATAAGCTGTGTTTTCTATTCCCCTGTGCCTTGGCTCACAGGAGGTCCCGGGTCAGAACTGAGATCTCATGAGTTAGCGAGTCAAATAAGGGCAGTTGTAAAACTTACTTGTGGCCAGTCAGACGCCAGTAATGTTCCCAAGGAGCACTTTCTCCAATCGCCTTGTTTTTATCATTTCCGCAACCTTCAGAAATGGAGTGAATCCAGACCTGGTCCCTTATCCTGCAGCAACAAGCTTGTAATTGGCTGAACAGTACATGTGAAAGATGCTGGAAGAAGAATAAAATGGCTGTTTTATGAACTGAGCAAGACAACAGCAACAACAAAATTACATTTATAGAGCGCCTTTCACGTCGGGAGGACGTCCCAAGGCGCTGGACAGTCAGGGGTCAGGACCTGAGCATGGGGGAGGGGTGGGGTAGGGGTGAGGGAAGCCAGAGAGGTGGGCGGGCGACTGAAGGCATGATCGAAGAGGAAGGTCTTGAGACCGGCCTTGAAGGAGGCAAGGGAGGAAACGAAGCGAAGGGACTGTGGGATGGAGTTCCAGAGTGTGGGGGCAGAGAAGCTGAAAGCCTGGCCACCGATGGTAGGGCGGATTGGGCAGGAGACATGGAGCAGGCTGGAGCCTGCTGAACGGAAGGAGCGGGCAGGTTGGTAGAGAGTCAACAGGTCGGAGAGGTAGGAGGGGGCAAGGCCATGGATGGCTTTGAAAGTTAGGACGAGTGTCTTGAATTCAATCCTCTAATGGTTGGGTTGCCAGTTGAGTCGGGCGAGGGTGGGAGTGATGGGGTCATGGAGCCTGGTGCGTGAGAGTACATGAGCTGCAGAGTTTTGGATGATCTGCAGCTTGTGAAGGGAAGATTTGGAAAGGCCGATGAGGAGGGAGTTTCCATAATCACGCCTTGAAGTGAGCAAAGCAGATGACCAAAACGTCTGCCTGTTTATTATTTATCGCCACCTCGAAAAGAGATTTGGAAAAACACACTTGAGTCTGTCAAATTAACACCATTAAATATTACATCTGGAATAATATAATAATTCTTGCATTTGATATAGTGCCTTATCATGTCTTCGAGACGTCCCAAAGCCCTTCACAGCATATACTATAAAGTGAATGACTGTACATTTTGTGGGCGAAACACGGCATCCAATTGCGCCATAATGCATCTACTGTTGTGCTTCCAGCTCACTGCTCAAGTGTGCAAATGATGCAGAATGCTAAAAGCAACATCTGCTCCAGTATAAACAAGTAAATGTTTGCTGGCACTTTAAAGTCTTCTGCATAGACTGCCCGAAGCGAAGCCAACCATTCCAACAGACACACCCTTTCAACCTATTGCTCTCACCAGCTTAATCCTGATGAAGCAGGGGGTGGTGGGGTTTGGGGGGAGAGAGGGTGTTACGGACCAAAAGCTGACTGTTCAAAGTGGTTTAATTTTGCTTATTAAAGATTAAAGTGATAAGCATCTCTGCTCAAGACGAAGCACAGGAGTTCAAAGCAAAATGCTGGTTGTTCCGGTGCAGGCTCCCAGACAGAGAGAGCACTCTGCTATCAGACATGTTATCTTCACACTGGCACGCATTACTGTGCAATGCCTGCAATTAGTGAAAGCAGGCCATGTAACGGGAAGCTGCCACTTTATGCTCGGAAACTTCCTGTTGAACTTGGCCCAACAATGGGCTTCCGTGATCAACGGAGATCTGTATATATACTATAGATAGTGGAAGGGAGTCTGACTCCATCCATTAGTCTGGGCTGTGAGGCTGTTTTGCAGCAGAAAGCTGCTGTTTCGAACAATACTCATTTGTTCAGTTGTTCTCGTGCTTAATTCACTGTAAAGTGTCACAAGTTTGATGCAGTAGAATAGATGCAGTGTGCAGTGTTAACACAGATCCTGTGTTTGATCTGTGCACGCAAAAGCATTAACTCTCTTTTGCTACATACCCAGACACTTGATTTGTGGATCGAGGACAAGTGATTGGAGAATCTGGTGTCAGTCCAAAACAATTCCATCAGAAAGCAATCAATCCTCTGCAACTAATATCCCAATATTAACAAGTTGGTGCTACAGAACAGTTCCTGATCAGCTTCCCTCTTGTAAGAAATCAGGAAAGTGTATAAATTGTCAGCATAACCTTCTGAGCCCTAGTTTGTTTGCCTTACTTGACAAACAAAATGACTTTTGACATTTGAGTTCACTAGGTTCAGTTGGTACAGGCCTGTGGATTTTATAATGGGCCTGTTCCCTTAGAATTTATAAGAAAAATGGTTAATTGTAATACAATACAAATTTATAGAGTGCCTTTCACGTTGGAGGATGTCTCAAAATGCTGGGGAGTACTATATCTATTGGAATACTTTTAAATTCATGTGGTTAGTACCATTTGATGTGAAATAAAATGCATATCATGCAGTTTATCACAACCTACGCTTGCACCCCACCGAACTGTGATCTGTATCAGCAGAAGAGTTCTTGTTCTGTTGAGTGGGAGCCAGGAAGCTACACTCAGTACGATAGTGCAAATGCGATGTAAATAGAGATGCTAAACATCATACAATTGTCTGATAGCCATTTCCTACAAATTATGTTTACCAAAGCCCAAGTGAGTTATGGTCAGCCACGTGGGTGGCAAAAATTAGCACCTTTCTTTGCTAATTTAACACCTTTTTATACCAAACTTCCGATTTTGTAATATCCAGACACTGATACATTGCAGCAAGTGTGCCCTTAGCTACTGTACGAGAGAAACTTCCTGGCTGAGGTTAAACAAATACTGTTTATTAAACCGGCATTTGTCTGGAAAGTGACGGACAACAAGAACAAAATAAAACAAGATGATAAAGACCTTCAAATTGGTCTCAAAGACACTCTGCAGACTTGGAGGTCAAAATTATGGTGCGTGATATTAACACTGGTGATAATAATCAACAACAAAAAGGACACTCAGTATTTATAGCCTGCCTCAAGGGTGAGCTTTGAACATTCCCCCATTCCCCAGCTAGTAATTACTATTGACTGTCATAACTGTTATCTATCATAACTATTGATTACTAATAGGCTTCCTCTAATGATTTTGCCACTTCACCCCAGATCTAAACAACTAAAACATATGTTCTTTTTCTAGATATTTTTACTCTTAATTTCTAATTCCGAGAGGCTTTTTCGGCACTTTTCCATTTTCTTAGGGAATTCTCCTGGTCTCAGAGCATTCCTCATTTTAATCTCTTCAGTTTTCCTTATTCACGGACAGTCTCTTCTTTCTCAATCTCGTGCTTGGTAAAAATTATAAGAACGATTCTCATTGATCAGGATTTCACCGTCTCAGCCGCTCCAAGACACTATCACTATATAAATCCAAGTGTTGTTATAAATCAGGCCCTATGCTCCAAATCACTCCACCACTGGAAGCAATATGACTTTGCTTCATGTAACTGAAACAAACACACACCTGTCTTCTGAGGTGAACACAATACAGCTCTGAAATGGTAGCACAGGTTTTCACTGGTCACCATTTTAATCTCTTTAGTGCAGTGCACAATTGGCTTCAATTCATCTATGCATGCAGATCGATTCTCATTGATCGGGTTTTCAGCCCAGCTCAGTGTATGTGGTTGCAGAATTGATCAGCAGCTGATTCCAGTGTAACTGAAAACAGTGTAAGTTTAGAAGTGGGGTAAGGTCCACCGGCTGTGTTTTTCTCTCCCAAGCCTGGAGATGTTTACAGTGATTGCAGCATTGTTTCCTCCCCCCACACCACATCCAATGTAGCCCCATTGATTCCGTTTTGTACCTCATGTTCCAAAGGTGTTTGACAAATTGCTGCAGGAAAGACACCTTCACAAACGGTTGTCACACCGGGTATCAAGGGAGAGACATGGACATTGGTTCAAAATTGACTGAAGGGAAGGAAGCAAGAGAGTCGTTGTTCGGGGAAGTGAGGTTAAAATAGGAGAGATACAACCTCTATGTAAATAGAAATGCGAAAAGTCAGAAGATGGTCTGATAGCCATTTCCTACAAATGATGTTTGCGAAAACACAAGTGAGTTACGGTCAGCCTAATGGGTGGGGATGTTTGTCACCTTTCTCTGCTAGATATAACAGCTTTTTGTATCAAACTTTAAGAATTGTGAAATATCCAGACACTGAGACATTGCAGCAAGTGTGCCCTTAGGTACTGTCGAAACAAACGGAGGGTTAAGGGGGGGGTGCCTCAGTGCTCTGTACTGAGACCTCCTGTTCCTAGTATACATCAATGACCTGGCTTAATCACCTTCATTAGCTCCATGCTCAATTATTCCAACACGCTGCTTGCCAAACTCCCCAGCTTCTCCAGTTACAAGCTGCAGACAATATACAGTAAAATCCCGTGAAGTCCTTCAGAGCATCTCAACAATGTGATAAGGCACTATATCAAATGTAAGAATTATTTTTTTTGGTCAGCTGGGTGTCTGACACAGGCAGAAACCCATTACCATGCTTAAGAGTATCCAAACTAAATTAAGAGTAGAACGCATCCTACCTACACACGGAAATCCAGAGATGAATTGTTGGAATGGAATGTGCGCTCTCTCCCTGGAGGGAAGGATCTTGCTTACCTAATGCTGGAAAGTATTAGACAAAAGTTAGCAAGAGCCAAGGCTTGGGGACCTCAGAGTGCGCATTAGGGATACTGCTGGAGTTTAACCAGCAAAAATTGCATAGCTTGCCATTCAAAGTACTGTCTGGCAAGCTTTCCTGCTGCCTGTCCAGCTATGACTATATGATTATTATTATCATTATATTTAATGAAAAATCTGCAAGCGCAGGGAACCTCTTCGCTGAGCTTCTCAATAGGTGGGAAGGACAGCTCATTGACTGAGCTGCCGGTGGAAAAGTGACTGGCAAGCATTAATAATAATAATAATAATCCTTGCATTTGATATAGCACTTTTCACATCTTCTCGACGTCTCAAAGCACTTCACAAAATAGACTGTAAAGTGAATTGACTGTATATTTGTGGGCGAAACACGACAACCAATTTCACACAGCAGTGTCCCACAAACAGTCGTGGATTGAAAATGACCAATTTATTATTGTTTTCTTTTGGAGGAATTATTATTAGACGTGTGGAGTAAGGAAACTTGCCCAAGGTATCGCCCTGCCTGGAATTGAACTCAGGTGTCTGCTTGCAAGGCGAATGCTCTAACCACTGAGCTGCAGGACTCCGTTAACCAGAGAGCTGCCTGCAAGTCTGCAATTCTCTTCGTCCCGCCCCCCACTATAAGTATTTCTTAAAATGACAAACATGTTTGCATAGGGAATGAGGTGTGGAATGAGTCCAGATCAAGACCCAGGCAGAAACAGTGCTCCTTTCATTTATCAAGACATTTAAAGTGCAGAATGGAATCATTCACTGGAAGGTTAACCAGTTCTGTGGCAAATAAGTAAAAGTGGTTTTGCTCTACTATATCCCTCTTTGTTCAACCAAAAAATTAAAATAAGGGGAACAGTGAAACTGGCGATTTTTTTTATTGTACTGTTTAAAACATAAATTATTAGATTTCAATTCAGTATTAAAAAAAGCACCATTTAACCCCTGAAATTTCCATCCCCCAAGCACTCAGCCTCGCCCCCTCCTTCGCCTCCTTCAAGTCCTGCCTCAAAACCCTCCTCTTCGACCATGCCATCGACCACCCCTCTTCCCCTCCCCTCTCCCCCCGACCCCAGCTCGGGTCTGAAATGTTGTACACTGTCCAGCGCCTTGGGACGTCCTCCCAACGTGAAAGGCGCAATACAATGCAATCTTGTTGTTGAAATTACACCCATCTTACATCTGCAAGCCTATCTTATAAAGTTTAGATCAAAGCCAATTCTTAAATTCAGCCTTCGTTCTGCAAAAGCTGGTTTCTTTTTAAGAACTACAGAAAACCAGCTTCCAAATTGAGACAGAATTTAAGAATTTTTGCACAATTCTGCTCAGCCTGAAGTTTTAATTCAAAATGGTCTCATGGGCTAAATCTAAATTGTATTTTCAAACCCCTGCTTATCCTGCTTGAACCTCTGGGACCTGCTTTGGTTGCGGTGACTAACAGACTATGACTAAAGTAGTTTCAATTTCTGGAGCTGTGCCTGTGGGACTGTGGAAGATATTAACACAGTTGACAGAATACGTGTGTTCATTGCTTTTTCAAATGGTCTCATATTATTGAAATACACTTCAAGTTGATGTGGTTGTTCAAATTTGCTTTTATGTTGCTCAGGGTTTTTATGATTATGTGACTGCGGATCAATGCAAAGCCGCATTTGCTCAAGTCAATGAGCTTTATTTTTTTGACTCCCAGATTACAGGACCTGGAGGAGCTGGGAAATCTGTCTGCACACTGGGAGACCCTGCGGCAAAATGTAACCGTCCATTACCGGCATATGATCAGCAGCTATCAGGAAACGCTTACAGAGCTCAACAAGTTCTCAGGTATTACAGCACTGCATCACACCACAGAGAATTGCCGAGATTCTGCATTGCGTCAAGCATTGCCTCAAGCAAGTGACATTAGAGCCAGTTCAGCTCCAAGGAGATCTCGCTTACCATTCCCCGCCACCCCACCCCAACAGGAGTTTGCTTCATGACTGATCAACTATTTGGCAATCACATTGGCAAAAATCGGTGGCCCCTGCTGGTGTCTGGGTTGATGTCAGATGACTTCTCCCAGCCCACTCCCCTTCCTTCCACAGGTCAAATCTAAAAGTAGAGATAAACTGAGTGCAGCAGGTTCAGTGAGGCCAAATTTAGGGCTAACCATTGTGATAGTGCCTTGGGGCTGCGGGCATTCACCAAAGACTGAGACGTTGCTGGGGCCATATAACATTTTTCGCTCAATGTATCGTTAAATAACAGTCTTCCAATACTTGGTCAAACTTTCCACTATTAAGCCTATGACAGGGCATGGAACTCGTGTCTTGCTTTTTACTGTTTGTCAATCTTGTTACCTGCGCACAGTATCACACCTCAAGCCAATGAGTCACGCCACTTGCCTGATTCCAGGGTCATCGTTCAAGCCAAGCTGCAGCCGAGGAGAAAAGAAGCTTGAATTTGTTCCAGTTAACCTGCATTTGCAAAGAATGCACATTCAGAGCAACTCTGCAAGGACAGGTAGGTAGCTTTGTTCCTTATTATCAATTAGCGTTCACTTACAAATACAGTCATTACACTTTTCAGTAAAATCCCGTGAAGCACTTTGAGACATTTCACCGACTATATCAAATTTCCTATCATTGGATTCCACTATTCTACACGGATCACCATTTGAGGAAAACCTGGGAATCATTTTGAGACATCCTCCTGTCATGAAAGGTGCTATATCAAACGCAAGGATTTTTATTATTCATTGACTTACACTACTCTGCAAGAATCACAGTTAAGGAACTGTTTTGTTTTCTAAGCAACTTAAGGTTTGCTGATTGCTTTGTTCAAAGATATCTGCGATAATGGTTTTGCGCTCCTCATTTTGTCGCCTTTCATCACTTTTTCAAACAATCCCAATGAGAAAGAAAAGGTTTCATTTTACTTCTCCCCCAGGCGCTTTCATCCTCTCTTAGAAAACCATTGTGACAATTTGTCTAAGGTAGATAGTGCTGTAAAACAGGTCTGCATCAAAATGCCATTCAGTCTTTGAGGAAAAGCATTTATCAATGAAGATGAGAGACATCACCATTGTGACATTAATTCCTAGACTATCGAAATTAACAAGGGACTATAACTACCTCCATACAGTCTTCACCTATTTATACCGCATGATAATGGCACCTCCACCCATGGAATATATGTTGTAAGTCCTGGGGATGTCGCTACAATTGTGAACAGACAACACAGCAAGAATAAAACATTTCTATGGAATCACCCAAACCAGTCAGCAATCTGTGCACTAGTTTAAGTTTCATGAAACGTGACATCTAATTTGCATAGGTTTTACTACTGATCCGATGAGTGGTATAAACTAAATTACTTGGTTAGAGAATCCACCTTGCAAACGAGAGGTCCCGAGTTCAATTCCCGGGCAGGGTGAAATCTTAAGCAAGTTTCCCAACTCCACACGCTTCTGTTTACCTAGCAGTAAGTAGGAACTCGATTGTTAATTGATTGGTGGAATGCTTTCTGAGGGGAATAATCCCTTCAAAAAAAATAACAATAATTATTCAGTCACTCTATCCACAACTATTTGTGGGACACTGCTGGGTGCAATTGGCTGCAACATTTTACACAGTAGATTCACTTTACAGTATATTCTGTGAAGCACTCTGAGATGTCTCAACGACGTGCAAAAGTGCTATATCAAATGCAAGGACTATTATTAAGTTTGTTAAATACCTCAAGACTAACTGCGAGATCCAACAAAATGCACAGGCTCCAAAGTTCAGATCAGACCTCTTGTGCCTTCGGTCCAAACTATGAATCCCCTTTCTCTGGAACTCCCTACCTCAATCCCTCCACCTCACCCCCATCTTTATCCATTTTCCTTTCCTGATGAGAAAGGAAAAATTTAATTTTACTTCTCCCTGAGTGTCTATGGTCACCTCCCCATCTCCTTTCTCCTCATAAGGTGCTGCTTTGTGGGTGCCAGTCACTCTCCAGGTCTTCACCTAAGTGGGCATCATTCATGTCTGAGCCTCAATAAGTGCAATAAGTGTCAGCAGGCTTATTAGATCATTGGGGCCTCCTAGTTGAGCCCAATCCTGTCCTATCCTCACTTGAAATCCACATATGTGTGTGTCTGATGAGCGATCAGAGGCAGTATCTTGGCTGATGTTACCGCCCTTACACAGTTCTAACCAGGCTAATTGTTACGTTATATAAATACAAGTTGTCGTTGAAACAACTAATCCAGGAGAGGCTATTGATTGTTCATGAGAGCCCTCTGGTCTGTATGCCTCAACGTTCTGCTGTGCATTTGCCAATCAGAGGGGCTCGAACACAGAATAACACACTGTATTATTCATGGGACTTGTAAATGTGGAACAATTCAGGAATGTTTAGAAGAGACTAGCTTTTAAAGCAGATTGCAGTAGCATTACTGTAACTTTGATTAAGAGCCTTTCACATGGGATAATTGTCTCTTAGCACTTCACAGAGATGATGAGGATCATTGAGCAGGGAGAAAAGAAAGCGATTGAACATATTGACCAAAAGGCACGGTCAAAGAAATAATAATATAAACCTGCACCTTGCAAATGCATTTTAAGAGGGTTTCGAAGGCAGAGAGAAAAGGCTCGATGATATAATAATAATAATCCCTGCATTTGATGCAATGCCCTTCACATTGGCAGGATGTCTCAAAGCACTTCATCGGATTTAATGTGAAGTGACTGCACATTTGTAGGCGAATGCGACAGTCCAACTATGCACATAGTATCCCGCAAATAGTCACAAAATGAACGACCAACTTTATTTGGGGGATTGTTGGCCAGGACACCAGGAGAAACTTCCTTCTCTTTCAAATAGTGCTGGGGGATCTTTAATGTCCACTTGAACATTCAGCCGGGACCTCAGTTTAATGTCTCAACTGAAGGACCTTCGACAATGCAATACACCAACAGCACAGCACTAGAGTACTCACAAAAAAGCAGCTTTATCTTGGTGCAGTTTGCATCCAGATTTCCCAGACTGCTGTCTTCATTTTATTAAAAAAACAATACAGTGGCAAACTCTTCTTTTTACTTCTAGACATATTCATATAAGCTATAATATTTACATAGAACACAGCTCAATTTTAATGTATTCAGTCTAAATTAAATACTATTTTCAAATCTGTTAAGGGAGGTCGGGGGTGGGGAAAGATGCACAAAGTGATATTTATGATCAGCAAGTGTGTTCAGGTTAAACCTACTGAAACATTCCAACCTACATTTTATTTGTGTGAAGATTTATTTTGAAGCACGGCAAGTGTCAAAGTGGGTGGCAGATTTGAAATCCTATTGAACTTGGATTTTCCAGGTCAAACTGACTATATAAAAACAGTGCAGTAACATGCTGTGCAATATGTATGCTTTGCTATAAAACAGTGTGACCCTCATCCTCCATTTCCTAGTGGAACAAGTGGGCGTCTACTAGCTTGTTTAGATTAACTACTTTGCTTAATTATTTCTCCATTCCTTATGTACACAATTTACATTTCAATATGTAAACCATGAGCTGGGGGCAAGAGCACTTGCTGTCCTTAAGCCTCTGGGGACCTGTGGTAATAATCCAGTCCAGATTGATGAAAGTCCCCTCTCTCTGCCAGCAGTAAATGACCTACCAATAAAATAAGTTTGTACAGTCGCATACCAGTTGCTTGTGGGTGTAAATTAACACTACAAAAAGCATCTGTAATTTGGTGCTAATTTGGCACTTGCTTACACCACAAAGATAGTTTATGAGGGGAATAGAAATATTAAACTCATGCATGGTATTGTTGTGAAATTCAGTGTTAGCCATTGTTTTGGAGACTGTCTTCCTCCTCATTTGGCCACTGCAGTAATCTTCACATTTGATATTGCAACTACAATGTCAAAATATCTCAAGCACTTCACAGTTGATTGCTGACATGTGCAGTCACTGTGTATTTGTAGACAAACAAGGCAGCCAATTTGACACAGCAGTGTCCTAACATTCATGAAGTGAGTGACTAAGTTTATCTGTTGGATTGTTGACCAGGACACTGAGAGAAATGTCCTTCTCTTTTCGAGCAGTACCATAGAATTGAATGAGCAGACAGACAGGAACTTGGTTTACCGTCTCATCCAAAGGATAGTACCTCCAATAACGCAGAGTACTCGGAGCATTGCACTGTACTGTCAACCGGGATACTGCCACAATCTTGCCACTCAATCTTGAAATCAGTGACATGTTCAATTCCCCCATTCTTGGGTTTTCATCCTAACGTAGAAATTCACTAAGAATAGAGCCATTTTTGTTAAAAAAAAGTCAGCATTTTTCTTTCCTCCAACTCTCTCTGGACTTCTTTTTTCTTCTGCTTTGTTTCCTCTCCCACGTAATAATCATAATCCTTGCATTTGATATAGTGCCTTATCACATTGTTGAGACGCCTCAAAGCGCTTCAGAGAATATATTGTAAAGTGGATTGACTATGTAATTTGTGGGCGAAACTTAGCACAGCAAGTAGTCACCATTCACATATGACCCTTGTCCAACTGTGCAGGAATCACAGCAAAGCCCAATCCATTGCTCACTTGACGTTTACGGACACAAGCCTTCCATCAGAAGTAGCTGTCAGGAGAAGGATTACTCAGCAATGCTTTTATTAACTGAATCAGCAAAGGACTTAAACAAGCCGACTGGTGGGAAACTAAACCCTGCCTAGAAACTTCCCACTGAGTTGATAACAGCTTTCTAAAGATGTTCTGAAATCAGTTGCAGTTAGCAACCATACTTCTCCAGAGCACAAGAAGAGGCTGGACATATGCCCAGTTCCTAAGTACTGCGTAAGGCCAGAATTTTCTGTTAGCTGGTCTTTAAGTAACAGGGACACAATCCGAAAGCAGTGAAATCCAGGCAGTTAGCCTTACCTAGTGTGGGCAAATACACATTCACTCCAGTTTACAATAAATCCTGTGAAGTGCTTTAGGTCTTTCTTCTGATGTGAAAGGCACTATATCAAATGCAAGGAGCATTTAATTATTTATTTATTTCAGTATAGAAAACTGGCTTTCAAATTAAGACTGAATTTAAAAATTTGATGCCAGGTTCTCAAGTCTACGACCGATAGAAATTTCAAGCCTCAAGGAGGGAGTAGATTTGGAGAGTAGGTCCCAGTTGGTTATTCCAGCACCTACTGGTGGTTGGTAACAGAGGTCTGCAAACAGACAGAGGTCTGCCCACCCCATTCCCTGCGTGATGATTGGGGAAAATGAAATGATCTATTTCTGACTGTGCCTGAATGCCTCCTGTTTTGCAATGCGACAAACAGTTGTGGCATTTATATTCTGCACTGCTATTGCTTCAAGAATAGAGTGCCTTACATACTGGAACTGCTTATGGTTCATTACATCAGCCCAGTCGAGCTTTATGGAGACATATGACTGCGTTGTTGGCGACTGCCTTTGGAGCAATGTTGCAGAATTATATCTGCACCTTTCCAATGGGTGTGAGCCTGGCTGTTAAATATGCTTCAAATCTGGTGGCAAACAAGTTCTGTTCTACTGTGAACATAATGGGGGAAACCCTTGAACGTGGCAGCCAATTGCAAACAGTAAAGCCCCACAAACAGCCATGAGGTGAATGACCATTTTGATTTGTGGGATTGTTGACCTGGACTTAGGGGGAGAAACTCCTTTCTCTTTTGGAATAGTGCCATGGGATCTTTAACATCCACTTGAACAGGATCTTGGTTTATAGTCTCATCTAAAAGACAGCAACAATGCAGCATTCCCTCATTGCTGCACTTGAGCATCAGTCTAGACTGTGAACTCAAGGTCCCAAAATTGAACCTGCCACCGAGAGAACCAGATGTTCATAAACAAGGAAATGGTTCAGAAATTGAACCCATCAGGAAACTCATTGATGAGGAAATAACAGCACTAAAATAAAATCTGGTTGTTATCTCACTTGTATGCAGTCAGCAAACACCCTTGTCTAGAATGGAGTGGTTCGAAACCAGTTGCTAAATGTTATGGTTTTACAGGTTAGGAATTTGCTGACAACAGCTCTGGGATCTCTGGGTTGAGTGGCTGTGTGGGTATGCCTGGTACTCCTCTGTAATCAGAACACACATTCTACACGAGAAATGAAAAGATCACTGTGTTTACATGAAACTGCTTGTCCCGTCAGTGTAAGTTGTGTTACACATCAAAATGGAAAAGTATGGCACAGCAAGTCTAACATTGCAAAGTGGTGAGATTGTGGAATTGATGGTGAGCTTTTGGAACTCTCTGTCTGAAGTGGTGGTTGAGTCAGACAGTGTAGATTCATTTAAGAAGAAGCTGGACATTCACATGAGGGAGGGAGGTATAGAAGGGTATGGGATTGAGTAAGGAATGGGTGAAGATGTGTGTGGAGTATAAACACTGGCATAGACTGGTTGGGCAAGTGGGCTGTTTCCATGTTACATTCTTTGTACTATATTAAGAAAGGTTTAGTTGTTACCTGAATGCCCTGTGCTTTCTACACTGACGGCGTTAGGCATAGCAACCCATTGCAATTGCATGGCGCCCTAAGGCAACGAAGTGGCTCCCTTGCCAACATGACTCAGTTACTTGTTGGCTCATACACTCCTGGCCTGGTTCCACTCTGCTCCAAAAACCCATTGCCTCCCCACCAACCAACTGACCACCCTCTGACTAGCCGCAATGCCGGGGTGGGACATCTGCCCAGTAATTTAGTAGCTCAGGGACTTGCTGACAGTTTCCCGGCAACTGAGTAGCACGAGCCAACAAGTGGCCACATGCAACACTGGTAGGGGTCCCAGAATCGAGTTTTGCTTGGGGCCCCCGCGGGGCAAACACCACCCTTGGCCTCTTACCTGTACACCTGCCTCAGACTATTGCTTGGCTCCTACCTGCTTCCCACCAGTATATCTGGCGCACACTGTGCCCTGCTCCCAAACAACCTGTACACCTGAGTGACTTACTCAGGCCATTCCCAGCTGCTTCTATTCTGTATTCTGGCTCGCTTGAGCCTAATTTGCATTCGATTTTGCATGCGCCCTACAGTAGCCTGCACACCCCAGGAAAACAATTATAAATCACACAATTGACATTGGCGTATTTTGTACAGAGCGTTAAATACCACTCAGTGAAAAATCTGTCGGCACCCATTCAAACTGTTATAGCTCACCCACTGTGAGCTCATCTCGTAATCTAATTAATGGATTGCCATCCGTTCATTCTGCCTGCCTGAGTGTCAGCTCCGTTTCCCAGAGTGATATATCCTGACAATCCCGAAATTGCACCACTGAACCCCTCTCGAAATTAATAACGGCTTCCTTTTGCACAGTGCCTGGTGCTGGCCTCTACCCGGAGCTCCCACAGATAAAATTAGTCATTCACTTCATGGCTGATTGTGGGATATAAAAACAGTCACTACGCTGATTACTCTGGACAGTAATTGTTGTGAAGTGCTTTCAGAAATTGCAACATGAGATGCTCATAATGGAGCATTCTACATGCAATCCTATAGCATAGAGGTCAGCGGGCTCGCTTCGCAAGCAAAAGTACCAGGGTTTGTTTCCTGAGTGGCGCGAAACATTAGAGCAGGTTTCCTTACTCCACACTCCCTTGTTTCCCTAGCAGTAAGTAGGAACCCCGTTGTTAGTCGATTGGCAAATGGCTTTCCAGGGGAAATAATCCCTCTCCTAAAAAATGAATGATAATTTGGTCACTCAATTCATGACTGTTTGTGGGACACTGCTGCGCGCAACTGGCTGCCATTTCACCAATAAAATATACTGCGAAGCGGTTTGAGACATCTCAACGACATGACAAGACGCTATATCAAATTCATATTATAATATAATATAAATTCAAATTAATATTATAATATGCCCTTTTTTCTTCATTTCATTATAAGGAGCTACTTGAAAACTGTTCCCTTTAAGCAGCCATGCTTCCCTTTCTAATGAATAGACAGACTCTTAAAGGTTGATGGGCATAATGGTCTTATCCTCCTTTGTGTGGGGAAAAGTAAACAGGGTCTTCTTAGCACTGAGCTGGCTCCGAGATGATGTGCTTGGCAATGAAATGTCGGAATCGAGCCAGCCCTTTGTGGTGATCATGGTAGTGTGGTTCCTGAGCCAGGCATGTCCACAGTATTCCATGGGAACTGCTGATAACAGCACAGCCAGCCTGGCTCATCGGCAGGACTTAGAGGGAGCAATTGCAGGGAGAATTGATTCTTCCTACTCAGCACTGTTAATCCTGCAATCCAACCGGTAGAGTGGTCTTAGCTCAATAAACAGCGGGAATGTTGTTAAACAGTACAATGGCAAAATGTGCGGTTTTAGCTGGTTAAATTACACCTCCCACCATCCTAGCCCTAATACTTTCTGGACTTAGGTAAGCAAGTTTCCTCTTTCCTGAATGCGCATTCCATTCTAGTCACACAGAAATTTCCGTGTGTAGATGGAATACACCTGTGGAACTCTTGGTCTGGTTTGAATACTCTTAAGCATGGTGATAGGTTTCCTTAAGTGTCAGACACCCTGCTGACCAAAAATAATTTGGAAACCGTGGTTGTCTATCAGTGATTTTTCTATTTGTTTAACATGATGTTTATCAAAATCTATTTAAATGTATAAATTTCGCTAGTCGCTAGTTATAATATTTATGGGATGTTATGCAGGCAGAGAGAGCAGTGCCTCATGAGGGAGAAAAGCTGTGAATGAAATGGAGATGTAATGGGCACGAGTCATTCAACATTCATAATAATAATCCTTGCATTTGATATAAAACCTTATCACGTCTTTGCGATGTCTCAAGGCGCTTCACAGAATATACTGTAAAGTGAATTGACTGTGTGTTTTGTGGGCGAAATATGTTATTTCCATTTCAGTGGGAAATAAATAAATAAATAAATTATGTTGCATTGCAGTAAGTGAAAAAAATAAAGAATGCCAGAGTTTAAAATACAGACCTACTCTGTCTGAAAGTGAGTAAAAGCACCAGATCTTTACATCACTGAGCAACATAGGCTAGGAAAGAGGAGGATCCAGGCCTGGTCTGTACTGATGTGGCAACAAGTCACATACTGGATAGTGTCTCTGTAACTGTCAACCCAGTAGAAAGAAAGAGGAATCCAACATCTTCAGGAGAGGAGGAGGGAAGAGAAAATGTAAAGGTTCAGCAAGTCACAAATCAGACCGTCACATCACTCATTTTTCTCGCAAGTCCGCGAAGAGTTCTCCTTAATTTTCCTATTGGTACAAGGAATTAATCCACACACCAAGTAAACGTTCACCTTTAGTCACACCACTTTACAGTAAATCTTTGAGACATCCTCCCAATGTAAAAGGTGTTACAGCTAATGTGAGGATTTACCTCTGTCTGAACAAGCAGGTAAGGGCTCCCCTACTGAGCGTTTGTGAAACCTTAAATAGTCCACATACTCAACCACCATAAGAGGGTGTTCCCCAGACTCTACCAACATCCATATCAATGTGGGGGTCGTGCCACTGGCCAGTCTTCTCAGAAATTAAGGTTTATTGTTATTTTTTCTTGAATAGATGGGATGTATGACGTGATTACGGTGGGAGCTCCTGCAGCACACATTCGGGGCTTTCGCAGTGGAGGTTTACGCAGACAACTCTATAGATTCGAAGGAGAAAAGAGAAAGTAAGTAAAGCATTTACATATATTTGGCTTCTGTTCCCTTTCAATTGGGAGCTTGAATTTGACTTTATTGTGTTCATTTTTAGTATTGTAAACGCTGTGCCAGCTTTGATGTCCAAGAGCCTTTTTAACCCATTATTCTGTTACAGACTAACTTTCTGCAAAATTTGTAAGGCTGTGGGGAGAGAGTGAAGGAGTGGGAAGGAGTGGAGTCCTGTAGCTCAGTGGTTAGAGCACTCGCTTTGCAAGTGAGAGACCTGAGTTCAATTCCAGGCAGAGGGCGAAACCTTGGGCAAGTTTCCTTACTCCACACACCTAATAATAATCCCCCCAAAACCAAAAACAATAATTAAATTGGTCATTTTCAATCTACGACTGTTTGTGGGACATTGCTGTGCGCAATTGGCTGCCGCGTTCGCCCACAAATATACAGTCAATTCACTTTACAGTGTGTTCTGTGAAGCACTTTGGGACGTCCTCCCGACGTGAAAAGTGCTATATCAAATGCAAGGATTATTATTATTATTATAAACTCTTTACAAACTCAGTCACCAATTCCCTTCTGTACAATCGTGTACAGCATATCACACAGGCTGCAGTCTGTCAAAAGTGCTGGTCAGTAACACTTTGAGGACTGGAATGTCACATTCCTGAAACCTATGGTTGTTCTTTGTTTATTCTTTGAAGTTCATAGTTACTGGGAGGAGGGAGGGGTGTCTATGGAGTGAGCAGTGACTAATATTGAATTTCTGTAATTGAATCGTGATTTGGACAGCAGTGGTACTGAGTTCTATTTTAACGCTGGCCACAAGGGAAGAGCCAACTCGTGATGTGCTAGCATTTGCTTGAAACATTACAATAAGGCCATGGTGTACAGTCAGAGTCTTGATATACAGCCTTGTCTGGTACAGCCTCGCTGCATAGCTATCTGGCTCGCTCTTCTTGCCTTTGATATCTTTTTCCTATCAAAAAATATGAAAAGAAATGCTCAAAACAGAATGCTGCTTGTGAGATCTTACCAATCCTGAGCAGGTTCCCAACAGAGTCTCCAGGTAATTGAAAGGGTCCTTATATTGGTCCAAATTTATACAAAACCTGCATTTTGATTTGTCCCCTTAAGGACACGTGGACATCAATACTTGAGAAATTTGGTTACCTGTAAATTATATTTTTCCTCTAAAATTGCCCTTCCTTCCTGCTTCTCTTGAAAGCTCGGCTCCACCAGTATCTCAGCCACCAGTTGACTTGACTTCACATTCAAATACCCCTGCCACCTCACTCTACCCTACCTCTCCAATATCCTTGACCTTGGCTGTTGGCTGTTTGTGGGACATTGCTATGCGCAATTGTGCTGCCACGTTTGCCGACAAATACGCAGTCACTCCATTTCACAGTGAAGCCTGTGAAGTGATGTGAGCCTTCTTTCCAACATGATAAGGCACTAACCAAATGCAAATGGATTATTTTTATTAACCCTACCATCCCAGACTTTCTTTCCACTCAGCAAAGCTCATCTGTCTGCTTCATGTCCCCTACCAGACCCTCCCCACTGTCGGTGGACGAGCTTTCAGCCATTCTGACTTGCCCTCTGTAACTCCATCCTAGAATCCCTCCACCTCGCCCCCTCCTGCCCCACCTTTAATGGCAACCTTAAGACCTTTCTTTTTGACTGCGCTTTTGGTCATCTTCCCTTTCTTCCCCCCACCCGACCCAACTTCAGCTTATCCTGTCTCTAGCTCACACTTGCCAGTCAATTCTGTGAAGTGCTGTGAGACGTCCTGGAGTGAAAGTCACTATATAAATGTAAAAAAACACTGAATGTAAACCCAGAAGATACCCACCTCAGTCTTTAATGTCCACCTGAACAGGCAGCTAGAACCTCAGTTTAGGATCTCATCCAAGAAGCAACTCATTCAAGCTTAACTTTTGTAACGTTGTACAGCACATCGAAAGGACCTGGAGGTGGATCAGTGAAGGATACCTACCCACTGGCTGAGTTTGTTTTTAAAAATAAAACAAGTGCATTGTTGAATCAGACAAATTAGAAAGATCTGAAGTTCAAACCTGGAATGAGCACTGCGGTTGGCTTTCAGAGGTTATGGGCTAAGAAGAGAAAATGAATTGAAGATTCCGCTTCTAATTGCTATGTGGTGACTGCTGCTGGAAAGGGAGTCGGGAGGAGAGAAAGGACAGGATCAATCAGATAAGGAGCCATCACGTTGTCTGTCTCGACTCACACAGATAGATTGGGCACTTAGGCTGAGGTGAAGCTGTATCCCACTAAGCATTAATTTCTGGAGAGGGGAAGGGAATCCGCTTTGCTTTTGCTGGTGTCAAAAGCCAAGTGCAACACCAATAAATTTCTTCCTTTTGAATACAAAAGAGTGATGGATCAGCAGAGCAGTGAAGCTTGCCACCAGCAGCTCCAGAGAAGCTCTGGAGATTAAAGGGGGCACAGTCTTCATTACAAATTGCCTTTCTTGTTTGTGTGGAAATGGAGTGGCAGAGAGGTGTGATTTCTGACAGAGGAGCATCATGTACAAACGTTAGCGCATTTTCATGAAGGAAAAAAATCAGCCAAGGGCTCCCACTCATTATTGCTAAGCAGTAAGTTTCCTCTGCTGGAAACAGTGCATGTGTGAAGAGGGTAATGATAGGATTGAGCTCTACTGTAATGTCCATTGTGGTCAGTGCTGAATCTGTTAACAATTTACTTCTCCATATCCCAACATGAGCAATATTTTTGAGAGGGGAAACAAGAGACGAAAAGCAAACACACAAAAACACATGGGACTTACTGATATCTTTATTTCCTTCTGTGTGACAAAAGACAACTTGATGGCGAACTAACAATAATAATAATCCTTGCATTTGATATGGCGCCTTATCATGTCTTTGAGATGTCTCAAAGCGCTTCACAGAATATACTGTAAAGTGAATTGACTGTATATTTTGTGGGCGAAACACGGCAGCCAATTGCACACAGCAGTGACCCACAAACAGTCATGGATTGAGTGACCAGTTTATTACTTTTTTTTGAAGGAATTATTATTAACCCCGGAAAAGCGATCCGACAATCAACTAGCAACTGGGTTCCTACTTACTGCTAGTAAAACAGAGGCGTGTAGAGTAAGGAAACTTGCCCAACGTTTCGTCATGCTGGGAATGAAACCCAGGTCTCTCGCTTGTGAGGCGAGTGCTCTAACCACTGAGCTGCAGGATTCCTCAATAATGGTCTTTGGGGAAATAGTTGCATTTCGGTGCAACGTGTGAGTATGTTCCTGTTGAAAATTCAACAGAAATGCTGGAAGGAAAACATTTTCTTTCAGGGTTTTATCAAACGCTGTAACCCACCAACAGATTTGCCACAAAATAGCATTACCAATGATTATCTACCTATACTAACAAAACAACAATGTCTGTCTGCACTTCAAGGAGGATCCCCAATAACCGATTGATGTAGAAACGTGATTTATATCTCACCGGAGAGGTCTTGAATCTGGGAGTGATATGGGCATATTTGTTTTCAGGTATCTCCTATCGTTCGTGTGTTATTTTCAGTATTGCGTTTCTCGCTGCAGTTGCACCTGGTGGCCGCGCGGGCTGACCGTGGCGTGTGGCATCCTACGTCACAGAGCACGCAAGTAGCCAAACAGCGGGAACAAAATAACAACAACAGTTACATTTGTATAGCGTCTTTCACGTTGGGAGGATGTCCTGAGGCGCTGGACAGTCAGTGTTTCAGACCCAAGCTGAGGGTCGGGGTAGAGGAGGGTGGAGGGCAGTGGGGAAGCAGGGTGATCGAAAGCACGGTCGAAGAGGAGATTCTTAAGATGGGTCTTGAAAGAGGCAAGGGAGTGGGCAAGGCAGTTCCAGAGGGTGGGGGCAGAGCGATGGATGACTCGCCTGCCAATGGTGGGGCGGGCGACGTGAAGCAGGCCGGAGTCCACTGATAATAGCGGAGGGAGCGAGCAGGATGGTAGGAGTTTCGGGGGTCGCAGAGGTAGGGAGGAGCAAGGCCATGGTCCTTTGATGGTGAGGACCAGGAACTTGAACTGTATCCTCTGTGTGATGGGAAGCCAGTGGAGACGGGTGAGGATGGGGGTGATAGGGTCACGGAGGCTGGTGCAGGAGAGGACACAGACTGCAGCGTTCTGGATGACTTGCCTATGGAGGGAGGAGTTGGGGAGGCCGACAAGCAAGGAGTTTGCATAGTCAAGCCTCGATGTTATGAATGCGTGTATGAGGGTCTCGGCGGCCTGCAGAGTAAGACAGAGGCGGAGCCGGGCGATGTTGCAGAGGTGAGGACATGACATGGATGTGGAATAGAAAGGATAGTTGAGAGTCAAACAGGATGCCAAGGTTCTGGACTGGCTTATTAAATGGAGTGTGCAACTATGGATGGTGCACACTCCACCAAAATAGAAAACACAGATGAAGCTTAACAGTGGCAAAAACAGCTAAATTACATTTTTAAAGCGCCGGGTCCTCCTTGCAATAATCCTTGAATTTCGTACAGCACCTTTCGCGTCAGGAGGATATCTCAAAGTGCTTCATAGAAGATCCTGTAATGTGGAGTAACTGTATTTTGGGGGCGGTCATAGCAGGTTAACTTACATTAACCTAGTCTGAAATGGTCAGGGTGAGGGGAGGGAAGGGAGGGAGCGAGGAGGGGGTAGAGAGTCGAGAGGGGAGCTGAAGGCACGGTCAAAGAGAAAGGTCTTGAGACCGGCTTTGAAGGAGGAAAGGGAGGAGGCAGCGAAGGCACTGTGGGTTAGAGTTCCAGAGCCTCGGGGCTGAGAGGCTGAAGGCCCGGCCACCGATGGTAGGGCGGTGGATGTGGAGCAGACCGGAGCCAGAGGAACGGAGGGTACGGGCAGGTAAGTAGGGGGATAGTAGGTCGGAGAGGTAGGAGGGAGCAAGGCCGTGAATGGCCTTGTAGGCGAGGATGAGGATCTTGAAATCGATCCTCTGGGGGATGGGGAGCCAGTGGAGGCGAGCGA